TCATTTAAGATGTAATTAACTATAGGGGCTTGCCCTTATAGGAAGCATGTCCGAACTCAGCTTAATATAAACTCTATTTAATCCTTTATATTAGATAGGGGAACTTGTCGGCAAATACAAAAGTTTTGCAGACCAAACGGACGTCATACTCTTCTTAGTTTATTTGATCGAGTCTCATCCTCAAGTCTTGTGTTTATCCTTCGGAATAGATACAAGATTTGAGGTATAGTTCACTTTCATTTAAACTATGAAAAATATGGGGTTAGTTTGATTTCATACTTTTCTATATTTCAACGTCCTTCCGAAGCGGGTGACCGGATTTTGATTCTGGTGACCGACAACTTCTTACGGGCAACTCCTCCAACCAAAAATAGCGCTGAAAGCGGGTTGATGATATATGGATATATATATATATATATATATATATATATCTGTGTGTGTGTGTCTCTCTCTCTGTATGTATGTATGTATGTTTGTATGTATATATATGTGTCACTTTATGCACCTATAATTTTTCAGCTCGGGACCGAATGTCTCTGAAAATGGGAAGCTTATTCTTGAGCCGCACGTGCCTTTCTAGAGTGTGGAAATGCCACTAGGTCTTCCTAGTGGTGTAAACGTGTCGAGCCAAGCTTGAGCTTGATTAATATTTTCAAACTTGTACTAAAGCTTGAGCTCAAGCTTAGATCTGCGAGTTTGAGCTGACCTATTCAATATAAAAGAGAGATAATGATTTTAATTTAAAATAACTTCATAATAAGTTGACAAATATGATGAACAACTAGGAGCTAAATAATAAGAAATCATCTAATATCTAGTAGAAATACTATTTTCTTAACATTTTTAATGCCTTAAAGTTAAAGTTTTGGAATTTAATACATTTTGAGTATAGTTTATGTAAATATTTTCTTAAACAAGCCGGCTCACAAGCTAATGAGTTGAGTCAGGGCTGCTTGATCTTGGCTTGTTAGTTCATCGAACTCACTTCACGAGCCACTTATCGAGCTGGCTCATGAATCTGATTGACTTACTTGCACCAATATGGTCTTTCTCTTTCCCAGCTCACGATTTGTCGATGAAACACCAAAAAGGGTGAGTCGTTGGAACCTCCTACTTCTTTCGCTCTAGCTTCTCCTTCTCCCTTTTCCTACTTGTGTTATCTTCCTTCCTCCCACAATTTCTAACTCGTTGCTTTAATGGAATTGAATGGCAAACAAAATATTCTCATCATAGTGTGCATTGATTCAGTGTTTATAACCATGGTTACACACGCAATGTTGTTTTAACCAGTTTGATTACACGTGTAGTGAACACAACACCAACCACAACAACAAAATAAAAAGTGTCGGGATCGCAATCTAGGGGTTGCCTCCCATGTTTGCGACATCAAATATTCTCGACTTACCCTCAGAGCTTTGCATGCCCTAGCATCATTACCAGCAACACAGTCGTTCCCTAGGTCGAAACATGGGACACCATTCTCGATCGTCCACGTCTCGCCTGTTTAACCGAAGGTAAATCATTTCCTTCACTTCATTTACACCAAACCATCATCGCAAAGAGCACTTATTATTATTATTATTATTATTATTATTATTATTATTATCTCCTTCTCCTTCCCACCTCTCCTTCTCCCACTTTAGGGTTTAGGGAACGATGATGTTTAGCGAGAATGATGTTAATGTTCTGGTTTATTCTAGGGTTTAGAGGTTAGCATGTTTAACAGTTATGATGTTATCCTTATTTATATTTTATATCTTTTCTTAGATGACTTCATGATTTGAGGTGTTGAGGCTAGTGTGTTCTTGAAGTTATTGAAGTAAGATGATATTTTGTTCTACATAATTCTCTTTTAACTTAGCTCAAAGTAAGTAGATGTTTACAATTGATGTCAAACTCTTTTGCCAGTATAATTTATCTTATTATTTAATTGAGAGAACTAAGTCAAAGCAGAATTAGATTTAAGTTTAAAGCTCTTTTTTTTGTTGTGATCTGTTTGTATCTCTTAAACACAAAGCTAACCTTTTATAGAAATTGTGATTGAATTGTTGACCACTACCTACTAGGAAAAAATGAAAATTATGATGACCACCTTTGTTTGTGATTGTGGCTCAAAGCAAAGTTACTTCCATATAATTAGTGGTTACTTTCCATGCATTGCACTTAAAGTTTACAATTTTTTTGCAGGTAGTGGCACATGTAACTCCTTGTGGAAAATTTGTTTACATTTTTTTAATGCAAAAAAGAGAGGTCATTTAAAACATTTAACGTAAAAAATACCTTGCTTGAATTCCTAATAATTCTTGTCTTTGGTCTCATGAAGCTATACATGAGAAATGTGGACTTCAATTTTAAAAAAGTTACTAGCAGTAGTAATAAAATTAGAGTTGTGCTGTCTCATTTCACTTTTATGTTTTTCTTTTGCGATATTCATTGTTTGTTTTTGGAATCCTTGACTATTTATGATAAGAGAGCAATGCTACCACATAAAAGTGAAATTTTGAGAGCAAGTTTGCTAATTTTCTTTGTAAATATTAAAATTTAGGTGTTGGATATGTAAATACGTAACAATCTTGAGGCATATATGTAAATCTTACTTCTATTTTAATTACCATTGGATTCCATGCACGGAGTTCACAACCATGTCATGAGCTTTGTTCTTCATCAGAATTTTTATTTTTCTTATGCGGAATTATGTTATCGATATGCTTGTTTATTAACATTTACATGCTCTCCTTTGAGTTGCTTGATTAGCATAGTTGTAAATGCCCCTTGAATTTTTTATTTGGTATTCTTTCATGATTTATTATAAAAATTTGATATAAAAACTTTGTATTGCTTGATTAGTTTCATATAACATTTGAAATCAGATATCATAATATCAGATAAATTAGCAAATTAGCAATATAAGAGAAGGCACATCATCCGCTATATGAGAGAAAGAAACAACACCAACTTTTTGCGACATATTTTTAAAGGAAATTCAATTAGGAAATAGACCGACAACACATTTCAACAAAAATTGTTGGAATAACATTACAAAAAAATTTTAAGAAAGAACTGGAAGAGTGTATGACCGTACTCAATTAAAGAATAAATGGGACCAATTAAAAAAATTTTGGAAGCTTTGGAAAGAGCTCAAAAGATAATCTACTGAACTTTGTTGGGATCCAATTAAAAACACAATAGATGCATCATGAGAATGGTGGAAGGAGAAATTAGAAGTGAGATCTATTTTAAGACATACATATTTATATTTTCTTCTCACATACAAATGTTTGACATAACTTCTTCTGATTTGCATGAATGACAGCTTATGTCAAATCCTAATAAATTTAGGTATGATGGAATTGAACTAGAGCTTAAAAAGAAGCTCAATGTTATGTTTTGGTGGGGTTGTTGCAACTTGTGAATTTATGGACTCGTCAGGGCTCTTAAGATGTTGATTGAGAAAGCCCAATAGATCCTATTCAAAGGTCACTACGTGACAAAAATGATCATAGCGAATCTAGCCATGTAGAGAACCACCTTCTTTAAAAGCAAGGGTTGGTCGTAGCAAAAAAATTAGTCTTGCTTATCTAAGAAGCCAAGTATCAGAGCTAGTTACAACATGCACAAACTTATCTTCTGACATTATGACTACATAACAATCTTCATCTATTCTTAAAGTAATAAAAATACTAAAACAGATACCGAAAGTTTATGAAGATATTCTCTTATATCTGTACTCATTGAGGCTAATTGAAGATCTACCAAAAAAGATGTTTTCACGTTCATGGCACCCGAGAGAAGGGTTCATTATTTACGATTATTCTATGAAAATCACAATGTTTGACTACTGTTTATTTGTGTTTTGAGTGAACTAGTTGTAACTTTTACTTATGACATGGCTTTATTGGGTGCTCTATATTGATAGCTTTCTAAGTGGAGATTTGAGGCTATTACATTGGTTTCAAATTTTGGGTGTTTTATACTAATTGATTTCTTGTGATTGAGTTGTTGTTTAAAGGCATAATTTGATGATTTCTAATGATTCAGGTAATGTCCACATTTATTTGTTTTATGATATTATTATTAGTGAAAATAACTTGATAAGTTGTCAAAAAAAAAAATTCACAGAAAGTACTTTCAAATTTGTATTTTCCAAACAATTTAAATCGAACTCTGTTTCTATACTGAGGGCATTACGATCATTATGTCAACAAACAACACTTATAGAATCATATTTTTCAAACAGACCAACTGTTTCTGAAACACCAACTTCTGAATAACAAATTTTCATTAGCAACATCTGAAACCAATTTTCTACGGTTACAAGCTAAAACAAATGCACTCTTAAAACTCCAGCAAGCGGTGCAACAAGAGAATACTTATATTTATGTTTTAAGTTAATTATTTTTTTAGAAGTTAATTATTACACATCTAATATAAAAAAATATTGAATTGAATATCCGGAGCAATTTTTTTCTCAGCGTCTAACTACAAAACCATCACGTTATCTTCTACTATAATAAAGTCGAATTGAACATCCCAAGCAGTTTTTTTCTCAGCATTTTGGGCAGTGCTCCAAAAAGTTGCCAACAATAACAAACTAAGGAAAATTTACACACGGACCACAGGTTTTTTATACTTATAAATTTCACGTCTAAATTTTAATATTTATATTTATAACACTGGTGTTATATACCTATAAATGAAAATTCATATTGCACTTTTAAACTTAATAATGACAGTATTTTTTATGTGTTGTTAGAGATTTGATTAGTACTATTATTGTGTGTGTGTGTGTGTGTGTGTGTGTGTGTGTGTGTGTAGGATTTGTAAATATATAAGAACTGTGTAGTTGTGAAGAGTACCGGTTGACAGCATTTCCGGGTATGGCTAACCAAGGGGAAGAAAGGACACAAATCTGCACAAGAATCACTTCTACTGAATTAAAAAAGAATAGGAATAATCTACAAATATTTCAACGCTGATATTGGGATTCCATTTCTGAAAACCCCCAATAAGATTGTGAAATCAGGATACATGCATAGGAAAAGGCTACTACTATACACAAAATTGGAACGGGGATGACAGCTACTAAAGCTTTTGCAATGAGAGTTTGTCTTGCTCATAATCTTATAGCTTTGATTGAGACATGAAGCAAGCTGGGGTTGCATAATTCAAATAGCCCCATGAAAACAACTTAGCAGCAGTCAGATCTCCTTTGGTCGATTATGTACTTCACCCAAAGTATAGAAACCCATCAGGGAAAAATAAAATCTGATTTTCCACATGGCTCCATGAACTTTTCGCTTTTTATCATGAATCATGAGAGCCTTGGACCACCAACGTAATGCGCTTACCACTGTCCACGCGATGGTTTTCACCCTTGTATCCCATCTGGAGAATGCAAATCAATTAAATTAAATGGACATGGTTGCAAAAGGCTCAGTTTTATTAATAAATTAATACAGTACCTCCGCTGGATTAGCATCAGGTGAGAACCAACGGAGTAGAACACCAAGATGAATAACAGCAGGTATCATCTTAAAAAGCAATGGGGTAGTCACCTGCAATTTGACCACACAAATTATTTCAACATCATTAGAATGAAAATCGCTGCTCAGAAATGCAAGATAGGATTTCATGCTTAATGTGAGGCACCACAGTAGAAAAATGATAGTTTCGATCCTGTAATATCAGGAAAATAAACGGCAGATTCATAAACTTAATAGCTGTGAAATTTATGCTCTCTCATTCAGCATAGGAAACCCTTGAATACGCACAATTAGCTCTAGTATAAGTGTAAATACCAGGCTTAAAGCGGTTGTCCCCAATAGGAGCAGGTATAACTTCCCCTGTATAGCAACCGAAATAATTGTTAATGCTCACAAATCATAGTAGTAAAATGGATAAAAGAAACGAGTAGCATGCAAACAATTTTTGAACCAGTAAAAGCGCAGCTTAATACAAAATTAGAAAACAAATACATTCTTGATGATAAACACCTCTTTGCTGTGTTCTTGCTCCCATAATGAAATCCATATATTGATTTTTTATTATGACTCTTGGCACAGTATGGTAACAGTTTGCGTTAAAGAAAAATTTTCGTTGCAGCATTCTGTTGCATAGAGTGCTATATTTCATTTGAGCAATAAAAACATGCACCGCTGTCTACTTAAAAATGAAATTTATCGAAGCACGGAAATAATCTTTCCGCATTAAATAATGCTCTAAGAAAACCCATCTTCATTTGTGTTATGCTTAGTTTGCAAGATATTGCTATTGGGCAGTATAGAGACAGTTGGAGAATTTATGATTAAGCTGTACATAAAAGAAGAGAGAAAATTGTCATCAATTAAAAACCTCGACGAGATGAAGATTTGAAGCCCGACTTAGAAGAACAAAAGCGAATTCTCCAATCTGTGCCAGCGACATGCCAACCTAAAAATACGATAATTCAATTAGCACTTAAATAAGTAAATATAAAAGGGAAGAGATAAATGGAGCAAAAAATTACAAGAAGTGATGTCTTATTTGAGTAGCCAAATCCCTTAACAACAGTGGTTACCACTATGGTCTTTATGATGATCACTAAAATAACAGCAGCTAGTAATATATCCACGTGATTCCAAAGGAAATGGACATGGATTAGCATTCCGATGCTTGCAAGGAAGAGAGCAGCAAAGAAGTTCCGAATGGGTTCTATCTGCAGAAAGAAGAAACCTGAAATAAGAGGACGTATAAAAAAACCAACGAGGTTCACCACCTATAACTTCTACACTATTATATGTAACAGGAAAACACAATCATTAAGAAAAAGAACGCTTCTTGCCAAAAATGATGGTCAAAATTAAGAAAAAGTATGTATTTGTTTTAAGAAAATGTTATGGCTGAGCATATTTGTTTATCACAAATGTTTGTATATGGTAACAAAAAGCAGAACACGAACACACTGTTCACGAGCCAATCATCAATTATAACATTTTCCTACGAACCTTTTTCACAAATTATCATCCTACAAAATCTTTCCACGTGCCTGCTCACAGTTCCATTACCAATGTTCGAAAATCGAACCATGTAGTTGTGAATCAATTCACACAAAATAAAGGTAACACTTCATGTGCCAATTGATAAGAACAAATAAGAGAATTTATTAAGCTGACATAAATTAGTGGAATGAACGGAAAAGATTAAGCTGGGTCTAAATTAGTGGGCAATGTTATCAAAGCACAATATGAAGTGTATGGCTTTATTTTTGCTTCAACGCACAAAGCGTAGAGAGAAGCGGTGCTTTTAATAACCAAAACTCTAATATGTTACATAAAATTATTAATGTATATATGAATTCATAAGCAATTATAAAATATAAAATAAGAATTAAAAAGTTGATATAAAATAGAAAAGAATATGTTATAGTACCTAACTTAAAGGCCAACATGGAGGATGATCCTAGAAATAAAAATTTTGAACAAATTCTAATAGTTCAGCGCAATAATTAAAAACTAAAACCATAGCAAAAAAAATATAACTCAACCAACACTAAATTTTAAAGCATAAATAAACTAATTAAGCCTAAAATTTTATAAAATAAGCAAAAGTAAATCAATAATCTTCATCATCCCTTTCATCCATATAATAATTTTCTCCTCCGAGTAAAATTTCAAAGTTTCTTCCTCTTATTTATCTTCTTGTGAATAAATTTTATCGTCTTTTTGGCAAGAAGTTGATATATGTCGAGATGAACTCATAATCTTGTGAATAAATTTTATCTTCTTTTCTGTCTGACTAATCCTTACAAAACATCTTCGATCAACTTCTCCCGAAGCTTCTTCAATTTGTCTCGTAGTAAGATCCTCTTTACCAAATTTTTGCTCACAAGCATCCTTCTATTTTTCCAATCAATCATTCCCAACTTTCAATTGAATCAAAATTGATTGGATCCATAATATCTCTCTAATTGAATCTTCTCATTAAAACTTGATTGTACTTAATAAAAATTAAATCATTCATGCGCTTTTGATATCCCCGATTTTACTTTTCATATGAATTTGTAAAAAAAAAAAAAAAAAGATTGCACCAAATTTATAAATTTATTTAGTATATTTAATCAATTTTTGTAAAGTTGGGGTTGATGCATCATACATCTCCCAGCACTCCGCTGCTATAATTATAATATCATGTTAAAACAATTATTTAATTAATGATTGAAAATAAAATAAATTTTTTAATTAATCATAGAAGGAGCTTTTTTATCCCTGTTGTGGATAGCATATAATTTATTATCATTCTTTCATTTGGATCTTCTACTAACCTGGTAATAATTGCATGCCTTCCATCAATTTTGAATTTGGTTGTATATTAAGACTTGTTTTTATAAAAAATTTTGGATTAAGAAAATATCCAGCCTGATGTAATGGCAATCAAAGTTGGCACTTCCATCTATTATCAATAAAAAAGAAAGATTTACTCATACATCTTTTCATCACCTCTAAAAGCACCGCTAATTGCATCTCTGGAGTTTTCTTATCTTTGTTGAGGATAGCGTAGACTATGAGCTTGACTATAACTAGAAAGTTCTTGATCTATTATCATTCTTTCATTTGGATCTTCTACTAATGTGATAATAATTGCATATATGTCTTCCACTAATTATGCATCTGGTTGCACCTTAAACTTACTCTTATAAAAAAATTATGGAATAAGATAACAGCCAACTTGATGCGAGGGTTGTCGAAGTTGACACCTCCATTCATTATCAATAATATGAAAGATTTGCTCATACCTATTTCATCTCGTCTAAAAGCACAACTGATTGCATATTTGACTGTCTATTGCATCATAAATATAACTCACTGCAGGTTGTTTATCACCTAACCTTAATATTTTCACAATTGAGTTTGTAACCTTCAAAGTGTAAAATACATCATTCCAAAAACTAATCTGAAGGATGAGCTTGGTTTTTTTTCATTGTAATCAACACTAAATCCAAACTTATTTCATTCTTTTGAAATAAGCATATGCCTTAAATTTTCTTTTTTTTTTATGTGTTGTCAAGAGTGAGAAATGAAGTTACACCATTAGTATCTCTCAATCATGTTAAGAATAAGTCAATGATTATTGTATATGTAGCCGGTTAACTCCAAAGTTTTTTTAATTGTATTTTTGGCTTCAGCCATCTTTCCAATGTCATCCAACATAAGATCAATACAATGTGTTGCACAAGATGTCCAATACACGTGCGTCCTTTTTTTCATTAACATTTGACCTTTATAAAAAAAAGTGTTGATATTCTTTAATTTAAACAAAAATAAATTACAAATGAGGCTAATAAAAAATAAAATAAATTACAAACCTGCAAGAACATAGCTAGAGTGATTATCTGTAACTACTTGAAGCACATTTTTTCTCCAATTTTTCTATTTGTGCATCTAAAATCAAAAGCTACAACATATTCTTGCTTATTCAGATGATGTAATCACTAAAATTTTAATAAAAGAATAATAATATTAAATAATAATAGCATTATTACTAAATCAAACCATCAGAACGATTCGTTAAGTGGAGTCAAGGAGGGGAGTGCATCTCTCGATCATTCTCACTCCTAACCATTACAGAATGAACAGAGAGCAGTAGAGAGAGTTAGAGGAGAATCAGAGAGGGAAGAACTCGAAGAAGGAAACCTTTGTGCCCTAGTCAAATGGCTGCGCTAATTTCGTGGGTGCAGAGGAAGAGGAAGGAGTTGCACACACGGCTCTGGATCAAACCGGGAACCAAATCCTCTACGTGTGTTAAGTTTACCAAGACCAAAGGTGAAAAAACAAGTTCGAAGAGGAACGATAAGGAAAAGAAAATTCGAACAGGAAGAAGAAAAGAAGGGGTTTCGTGCCTTACCAGGATTCTTGTCGCGCTCGATTGCTGAGAAAGAGAAGGCAGACGACAGAGGCAACGTTTGCTTACTGCCCTGGGTAGAGCCACAGAACCGAAGAAGAAGGGAAGGGAGCTCGCACGATTGAGTTGAAGACAAGAAGAAGCAGGGAGAGAGCCTTCTTCTTGAGGGTTAAGACAGTCAGCTGAAGACTTAAGGTGAGTTTGAGACTATTATTTAAATTAATATAAGGTTATATATATTTATGAGTGTAAATTCAATTCAATAATGTGTTAATATAAATATAAAGTTAATTGAAATAGGCATCGTAAGTGGAATATTTTGATGCCAAGGAGAAGAGGGTTGGCTCGTCCGTAAAATTGGGTTTTATGTGCGACGTCAAGAACCAAATCTTCTGGGTATTTAATATTTAATGATATAAATTTGCTTAGATTGAAATTATTGGTTCACTTACTAAATGCAAATAACAAGTTTAATTTAATTAGATATTAAAGGTAGAATATTAGAAGATAAATCAATTTAAAAGAAAAATATAAATTTTGTGCAAGGAAGAAAATCAAATTTTCAAGGTTAAGAAATTGTAAAATTACTTATGTGACATCTTAATTATATGTCATTAGATATATTAAGTTTTTCTTCTAAGAATAAGATTCTTATCAAATGATATGCACGTTCATTAATATACGTGGTTATCCCAGAAAGTTAGTGGATATGTATTTTAGAAATATTTTGTAAAAAGGGGTGAGTGATTATTTTATTTTATGCATTAAATTAATATTTTAATAAATAAAAAATTGTTTTATGAAACGATCTAAAAATAAAATTTTCAATTATACGTTGCACATTGAAAATCTGAAATGGTATAAGGAATGAGAGAAAAATAAAGATACATTTTAAATGATTGTAAATTCATATAAAATGAAAGGTAAATATTTAAGTTATATAGGATTACCCCCAGATGGTACAGGCAGGGGATGTAATGTACCTGTGTGCGTTAAAGAAAATGAAAAATGTATACCTTCGAGTATAATGTTGAGGGTATCTTAGGATCAATTTTAAGGGTGTCTTCGACCACATTTTTATGGTGTCTTCGGTTACTTTTTTGAGGATACATTCAGGTATGACGGTAATCCTGTTATGACTATTAAAAAGGTTAAAAACGGTGAATACTTAAAGTGAAATTAGAATAGATTAATTTAAAATTTTAACGAAATGAACAGCATTTTTTTTGTCATTCATATATAGCATGGCATAAAAATTTAATGTATATTAGATAATAATTACACATTAAGTCATACTTATGATTGCAATTAATGATTTCTTTCAGGAGAAGAAAAATTTTAGGTTGATATGTCTAGTATGAGAAACAAGGTTTGTTTGGGGCAGCTGCAGCTTAGCAATTAACTGTTGCGCAGCAGTTGCTCTAGGAAGCTGCTGTGAAGAAGCTGACTGGTCATTTGTTTTCTGCGATTTCAAAACAGTTGTGCGATATTTGTTTCTAAACAAATGATCATTCTGTCTTTGTGTAGAAATGTTGTTTGTAACAGAACTGTCATAGTCCTATATTTGATAATTCAGAAGCAAAAATCTACATCATAACAGTAAAAAATCCACATAAACATCTAACTTAACAGTGAGTATCAAGATTGCTAAAAAAAGAGAAAAAACTATTAAAATTACCTTTAAAAATATGTTAATATTAATTTTAAAATGCAGACAGCATAGGTCATGAGTTATGTCGTTCTACAGAGATGTTATCCATTCTCGATCATTGTCGACAACGGAATTTGTCAGACTGTCTGCCTACAACAGGAAGACGCTTCTCCGTGATTCTCAGCGGGCACCTGTAGAATTGTCTCTCGTATATATGTGTCTGACGTGACGTAAGTTGGAAAGTCTGAAGTCCGCAGTGGCATAACAATCGCCGGGAGGTCCTTGAAATCCTGGAGCTAATCTTTTCTGAATGCAACAAAAGACAAATCATTAGTTATAACATAAATTGAAATTGTTATAAGAAGTAATTAATTACAATTTTTTGCAAACGTGAGGTCTCAGAAAACTCAGTATATTAACCAATGAATCTGTCACTACAAGAAAACAACAGATCTTGTAAAAAAATGGTTCTTTGTTGTCTTTACCCATGTAAAATCAAGCTCATGTTTGTCACATATGCATATCACCAAAAAAGGTCATCCAGAAGATCCTCAAAATTCATATCGTTGAAAAGAAGAGGGGAGCATAGTTGTGTTCATTAAGATTTCACATATGACACTAACTAACAATTACTAACAGGTCATCCAGAAGAACCCTTAAAGTCAAACATCTCATAATTGACCTCTCAAACCCACCAAAAGAAGACAAGTGAAATACAAATGAAAAAAAATACACCGTAAAAGTTCAAACAATTAATATAGAATATAATTTACAAATGGTTTTGAATAAAAGAAATAAAGCACAACTAGTATTTAATAAAGAAGAAATACTTCAATCACCCTCCAACTATCGCATCCGTAATTTATTCCTTCAAATATGTCATCTCGCAAGCACATTCCCCATCTTTAGTACAGGCACTAGAAGCATCATTCTCAAGTTGTGATAAAGGATGTCCAAAACGGTACTCAAATACCTTGGCAGATATATGCTCGTGATCTTTGTCCACCCTACGGAAGTCAATATCGTTACGGGAAGGATGCCGTCAAATGTAATTGTGGAGAGTCATCGTGGCAATCAAAATCTGCACCTGTTTGGAAAACGGGTAGGATGGTATATCGCGGATTATAACTCATTTCTTTTTCCAAACACAAAATCCTCTCAATGACACTATATAAGGAGGAATGTCTTTTATTGAATATTTTTTTCTGTCTTGTATTATATTATTTACTCGCTCAAAGTTTGGTACATAATATCTCGTATCAGGCTAGGGCTTGAGATATCATCGCTGCAATAGATATCCAACATCAACCAAATAGTATTTACCTTATATGAATTGCACAAATAATATTGAGGTAAAAGTTGATTTCTAGATTAGTCGAGTCTCAAGCGTAACCAGAGGAGAATGTGGGAAGTTTTAAATGGCATTTCGCGCCGCAACTTTAAAAATTCTACTATCATGTGTAGTGCCCCTCCCAACTGGTCATAACAAAAGTGAAATACATGTCAAATTCACAAACAACAAAGACATTCTGCGTCGAGCTCTCACAATGGTCGATGAATGCAATCTTCTCATTATTTGAAACATGTGCGCCAACATATGTTTCATCAATTGTTTCAATGCAATCCTGATAAAATATTGAGTTTGGAATAACAGTGTTTTTCCAAAATTGAATATAATGAATTTAAGATGTTATCATAAAAAACGACAAGTACCATGCATCGCGTGAAATCTCTATAGCAGTTCGTTCGAACGAAGTATCAGTAGATTTTATGACTTGTGAAGAATAGCTCATAAGTGCCTTCAATTTAATTAAGAAACATCTATAAATTGTTTCAAATGAGTATTGAAATCGCTCCATTGCTCCTCGCATTAATTCATTATGGGATAATAAGTAGGGGTTACGTCTACACCTCTCGTAAAGTCGTCCTGGAAGAGCCATGAGTTATAATATGAGGATCATACTGCTAAATCGTTGAATACCGCCCGTCTCATGCTTCTCATTCTGTGTAGTTCCTCCAACAGATCGTTGAATACCACCCATCTCATGTATAACATATTGTTAAATCTTGTTTGGTGACCCGCAAGCAACTGCCCAACCCATTTGTCCCCAACATTGAGAATTTCATGCAATGGGAGCAATCAATGTACAAGTTGTAATATTCTTAGATCAAGTATACGACAGCTATAATTCTCTTTCTATGTCTTTCTCTGGTTGCATCCATGTAGATCAGTATCGTACTAACACAGAAATATCAATGAATTAGCTAAAATCATATAAGGTTAAGAACAACGCAATAAACATATAGACATCATTGAATTAGTCATGTCCTAAGTAGTTGAAATATACAAAGTAAAATGAAAAACATTAAACAAATATAAATTTTAGAAGCGACTGTAAATAAAAAAAGTCTCTCAAATATTGATGCGATCATAACAACGTCGTAGATATGTCACCCTATAATCATTGGGCATCTTGATGAAAAAATATATACGGGTCGGATCTTCAAGAAACTCTATCGCAAACAAGTACGGTGGTTCATCCTCGGAAATTTCCCTAGTTGCATTCAGAATTTGCAAGACTTGGTCGATAGAATTTGCTTGAGGTGAGTGGGGTTCAACGCTGCAAGAAGCACCGACCGTGATATGAGGCTTCCAAGGAAAGCAGCCCCAACTTTCTTTTCATTTTCAACCTGCAGGTACTTAGAATGGGAGGTGGACTCGAATTCATGGAGGTCCGACCTGAGGACTTCGGTTGAATCACCTGATTGGTCGGCTCCCAAGTTTCGGGGGTGCCAACAAACCCTATCTCACTAGGAACACATGCATAGTTGCCTATAGCAATGACACCCCCAAACATTCGATCCAACTTCTCCAACTCAAGATCAAGTCCACAAAATTTAAATTTCTTTGCAGTGGGCACCACCTAAAAATTCATAACATACATTTCAATTAAAAAAAATGAAATGGACCAAATTAGGGGATATCTCAAAATTGTTCACCGCAAGTCTTTCGGCCGACCACTCCTTGGGAGCATCAACGGTTCGCTTCACTAGATCCCACCTCAAGCCCTTTGATCCTCGTTTCAACTTCTTCCAAATTTTTCAATCATTCTTGAGTTGATCCTACTTGTTCTTTAATTGCATTCTGACGTAATCTCTGTCTGTACTTTCCTTAAATTGTTTGATATCAATCTCGTTGAGGCAAATGTCACAAAATATTATTTTGATTTTTTTGTCTCACAATGCGGGTGTACCATTCTCTTTGAATTAGTCATTGTATTACTATGATAAAAAAACAAAGTTACATAAATAAATTTGCAAGAAAATGTCACAGCCACCATCCCAACCCACAACAACCACTTCAAGCCATAACCACCACCCAAAGCCACATACAAAAACCACCACTCCAAGTCACAGTCACAACTATCACCTCAA